GCCGAACCTTCCATCGGATGTAAAGATCTCGGTGACTTCTATTCGTACTCCTTACCAAGTCAGTCAATTTTCGTGCGGTTTGCGTGAGCTCATTCTCCTAAGTAGCCTTTACACTCGACTCTGCTCCAGCAGCAACACTAATGGGTCGCTCAAGTTCCACCGCACGCTGTGATTCTGAGTCTCCTACCACCATTTGTCGGTACTGTATATTACCCCACTTCACCATCGCTTACGCTTCCCGTGGTCATACGCCAAACAGCCCAGGAGAATGAAGCCCTAGTGACTATTTTGGGTGTTAGTACAATTTGGCCGGTCATGTTGTGGCAGTTCTGCTGCCTCTCCAAACCCGTTATTCTAGATCCACACTTCTCGCAGTTTGAAGTTTTTTGTCACGTTCCAGGCAGGAAGGTTTTATTATGCCCTCACTGGTATTGTTTTTACCCGCCACTTTCAAATCCTACCGATCAGATCTTGTGTCAACTGATATGTTCTCCACAGGGGATAAATAGCCTTCGTAATTTTGGATCCCTACCCATGCCGCCTCAGGTGTGATAGAGTCTACTTCGTTATTGCCCAATGTTTACGTCACCGTCTCTTTTCCAGGAAATTCCCATTACCTCAACCCCGATTAGTCATGCTCTAATTCTGACTGTAATACTATGATCATGCCTGACGATACGCTACTCACTAGTGGGGTATAAATATTGTTATGATTATTAATAATACGTTGTCGTCTAGAAAACCAAACTCAACTATAGGTCCATTTCGCTCTATAATCAGTGAGGTGTTGCGATATTTCTTGCGGAAGTAACCGTTCGTTCCACAGACCTGCAGTATATTCCTGGCAGAAACATTATTCAGTGGTGAAGAACGCATATGAATTAAGAGTTGGAGAAGCTCTTACTCAAGCTTTCTGAATGAACGATACCACATATTGAGGCCGGAATTCTAAACATTTTAGTGATAAAGTCGGTCAAGTTGAATTAAAACCTAAATGAATCACCGTGGAGAGTTGAGTTACAGGCCAGTTTTAGCAAGCTCAAATGTGGGGACGATAATGTAGTAGTAGCACGGTTGCTTCGCTTACCGCCGGTAATTCTCAGCCCGACCTTTAATTTAGGAAAACCAAAACGAGCACCATCGCTGTTTATCTATAGCTGGACTGGACTTGTTCCGATTGTCACTGGTATTTGCAACACCAAAAAATGCAAGTGAGTGAGGTCCTTCGTTTGTTTTAAAATATATATGTGAATATGCTCGCTTGTGGTGCTGTGTTAGGCTCACCACTAACCTCGACGTGCAAGGAGGTGCCACCTTTTTTGTTTTGGTCGCACCACCCATAGTCTACTTCATCTTCCAAAACCCATAAGTTCTTCCCTCTTGCACAAAAAATGCAAATAACTTATTATTTCCTGATTACCAGCGGTCACAGCTAACACTTAATGGCTGTTTTAGCTATGCACCATTCGTTTTCTGGAGTTGACAGCAGTGACTCGGCTAATGGTGATCCTTAATCTCACTTCCTGTTAGGTTGACGTAGTGGTTTTCAGTTAAGCTACGATTCTTATCCGTCATTTCGGAAGCTGTTGCCTGTCCGCTATTTACTTGTCTATTGTCACTGCTCATATCTGTCCCTTGGTTGCTCAACGGAGTCCCGATGTTGGGATTCTTTCGGAAACTCAGTCCTACTGCCCTTTCGAATTAGTCCAACTGCTAGCCACCCTGCCAGCTGACTCGACGACAATGTCTTTCCTTCCCATAACAGTGCGCCTAATCTGGACCAGCTAGTGCTTGGTTTGCAGATCAGTGAACAAATCCACCTTTCCTGCGTCCATTTAGCTTGCTGTCACCCCCTTTACGGATTTTCTGTGGACACCGTTTTGTCTGATGCCTCCTCCCACCCACGAGATGCTGCTGCTCTCATCCTGTTACTTTCTCATTACCCCTCTTCCAAAGCTTCAGACTTCACCTGCAGTCGCCCAAACGCCCCTTACAACTGTCTGGCTGATCACTGGCCTAATATATATGTGAATGTGCTCGCTTGTGGTGCTGTGTTAGGCTCACCACTAACCTCGACGTGCAAGGAGGTGCCACCTTTTTTGTTTTGGTCGCACCACCCATAGTCTACTTCATCTTCCAAAACCCATAAGTTCTTCCCTCTTGCACAAAAAATGCAAATAACTTATTATTTCCTGATTGCCAGCGGTCACAGCTAGCGCCTAATGGCTGTTTTCGGCAATCATCATTTGTTTTCTGGAGTTGACAGCAGTGACTAGGCTAATGGTGATCCTTAATCTCACTTCCTGTTAGGTTGACGTAGTGGTTTTCAGTTAAGCTACGATTCTTATCCGTCATTTCGGAAGCTGTTGCCTGTCCGCTATTTACTTGTCTATTGTCACTGCTCATATCTGTCCCTTGGTTGCTCAACGGAGTCCCGATGTTGGGATTCTTTCGGAAACTCAGTCCTACTGCCCTTTCGAATTAGTCCAACTGCTAGCCACCCTGCCAGCTGACTCGACGACAATGTCTTTCCTTCCCATAACAGTGCGCCTAATCTGGACCAGCTAGTGCTTGGTTTGCAGATCAGTGAACAAATCCACCTTTCCTGCGTCCATTTAGCTTGCTGTCACCCCCTTTACGGATTTTCTGTGGACACCGTTTTGTCTGATGCCTCCTCCCACCCACGAGATGCTGCTGCTCTCATCCTGTTACTTTCTCATTACCCCTCTTCCAAAGCTTCAGACTTCACCTGCAGTCGCCCAAACGCCCCTTACAACTGTCTGGTTGATCACTGGCCTAGACTCACATGGTCGTCCAACAAAAGGGTAAGAATCTGGGACCCTTTATTGGCGGAACTCTCCTCGTCCAACCCGGATACAGCTGCCACAGAAATGCGCATCCATCGTTGATCGCGGCAACCTTGACGACCGTTACGGGGCTGGCCTGAACCCCAAGTATATCAGTGAAACAATGGCATGGCACTGCTGTACCCAGTGCGATGGCAGTCCCGCAACTACTTTCTTCACAATCCCCACTGTAACTTCTCGCATACTTGAGCCTATAATTACAACCACAAGCAAAGTTTTCACATGGCCTCAACCTCTTTTTGGACATGTTAATTCTAACCCAACGAAAGTTTCTTTCGGATTTGACCAAGCTGGCTTTCTGCTGCAATTTAGGTTTGCCTCCCCCAGGGGTTCAACTCCATACACGGTGTTCGTTTTGCCTTATGCATTAGCGCTATCACCCCGTCAAACATCTCCCTTGCACTTTCTTCCCAGTGAGTCTACTTAATTTCAGGTTAAAGCATATTTTAGCCAGTTGCTCCTACTTCGAATTACTCCATCTCCATCCACATCTCTGCTAGTTGTGACACTGGCCATTGACTCAACCGCCCAAGGTCACTAATGGTCGGTAATGCTTTTTAGTTTCAGTTCATGTCAACGAGCTTTGCTTTGAACTGATCGGACCTCACCCTCAAACTTAGCCAGCCTGGTTATTCTGCCGCAATTTTGGCTTGCCTCCTCCTCCACAAGCTCAAATCCGTATACGGTGTTCGTGTCGCCCTATGTATTAGCAACTTGCCCCCATCCAACCTATTCCCCTGCACCTGACTTCCCTAAAACAGTGCAACCAGCGAGTCTGTTTAGCTTCAGATTAAACCACATTTTTGAGACCAAAGTCGCCATGTGCCCGCAATTTGAATTATCTCATCTCCATCTCCACCTTTGCTCGTTGTGACTCCGGCCTTTTACCTAACCACCCAAGGTCACTCATGGCCAGGAATGGTTTTCAAGTTTTAGTTCATGTCAGCCGACTGAGTCTTTGAATTATTCGGACCTCATGCCTATCGTTCCCTACAAGTTGCGAAAGAAACCTTTAATTATTATTTCATCGAACAGTCCTCACTGTTCATAACGTTGTCCCCATTTCGCGGAATCCACACTAGCCGCAAATTTCCCAGTCACATGTCCCATTCCGACTGTAAGTGCATGATCATACCCGAAGGTATGCCACCCACAATTTGGGAATATACATTATTATTTTTATTATCATGGACGCTCCAATGTTATCGCTGGCCGTTATGGGAATAGCGGGTTTGGAGCTTACTTCATGTACGGCCAACTTAACATAGGGAAACCATACTCGGGTGGTTCAAAAGGATGGTCCGTGACTCCCGATTATAATCTCGAAAGTCCTGGTCGTGTGGGTAATCAAAGAATAGATTGCAGGACATTTTCGTGTATCTGGTATGCCGGTTGGACCCGCTGAAGATGTACAAGATTTTCGGTTTGAAGTTTTGATCAATTCTGGAGTCGGTCGACACATTTGTGCGGCATCGGAGTGCGATGAAGTGTAGGGGTTTAAAGTATGTGAGAATACCTCGGCTAATCCAAGGTTGTTGCTGACGGTTGGGTGGCAGAGTATGTCGCGGAACTATCTGCTAGACCCTGTTGTTGTCAGTGTGGATTATGACGGCTAAACCGCTATTCACAAACGCACCCGAGATAATCCGGCTTGCTTTATTTTCCAAGGATTTGTCAGTCGGGAAATTGTGTGACTTGGAGACATCAGGTGCTGTTCTGTGTGGTTCAAGAACGACACGAAGTTTCCGCTTGATAGCTCTGAGCAGCAAACTTCTCAGATTGGGGCTATGCCGTCTACAAAGTTTCCCTTCTGTTGGAGGTGCGCAAATTTGATTAGGTAAGTTTGAAGTCGATGGGTAGATGACGGCTTGAATAAGGACGCCAACAAACGTAAAGCGACGATTTTGAACACGAATCGCATTAGTATTGCGCATTTCCGTGAGCCATATTACAGTGCAGAACTTGTGACGCATGTCACATATTTTGAGGGAGCGCAAGCATGATCAGTTTTTATGTGCATTAATGACAGAACTACATTGCGTGCGCCGTCAGATAGCAACGGTTAGTGTGATGACAAGGTGTAACGCTGTTACGACAGCCTGCGTAGTGCACGCTGCATCAGGGCGAAGAGGGTTAAGTTAGGCTCTTGTGCCCGGGAGGAGGCGGACTGGAATTTTCTGGGTGCGTTTCGGCCTGAGAGTCATTTGGTGGAAGAGAGTAAAAGATGTATCTCAATACGAAAGTACTGGAGATATTGGTGAACACCACCGGTGTAAGGTTTCATGAAGCGCTCTTTTTGATGGCCACAGGTAGCACGGGAACGACAGTCTGGTCTGCTGGCTGCGAGGCAT